CTGGGTCACTCTGCCGCTCCCTTTCATTCTCTTCCAGTGGGTCTCTTATTGTGGAATTTCTGCTTAGCCCTCTGTTTCCTCATATTTGTGTTCTTAAACTGTATGTGAGTAAATCCATTTTTCAACATTGCAAAGGTTTTACTCAGCAATGACACATGTCTGATTCCTCTTTCAACACAACATGATTTGTTTTTTAAACTCAGTGTTGCTATAAAAAGAAACATTTAGTATCTAAAGCATATGCATTTATTAATGTTGTTGCCACTGATAAAAAAGACTTAGTCAGTAAGAACGAAGCGTCCCCTGTTGATTGTGCCAACAAGTCCAGCAGGCGTTACAGTAGCATGGCACATCCTGTTCCTTCCCCGGTAGAAACTCTACTGGGACAGGGGCAGGACCAAAGCGCTTTGTCCATGTGGATTAGCTACAGACCCATACGTTTCTATGGAGCAGGTTAGGCTACGATAGGCTTTGACTCACTTAATACCCTCTCTCTGCAGCATGCGTACTAATCTGGGAGTTGAGGGACTTTAGGGATCGTTATTGTCTTTTAAGCTCAACTATAGCAGCATTAAGTTAGCAGTTGTTTCCTATTCCAGTGTCAGCCAGTTTTTTATTCCTCTGGTGGCTACTGAAGTCATTCTTCATTCATGGATGTGTTCCAGAAGCAACTGTCCCTTTAGGCCTGAAACAACAGCGAGAGGGGTATTGTGTTGTGCTTTTGACATTCCTGTGTGACTCCCCGAGGACAGACTAGAGGCTCTGAGACTGGACTTCTGCGATAACAGCAGCAACAGCATCAACTACATTTCCTGTTATTGAGATGCAGCAGACTCAAGGGACCGCTGTGGCTGAGGACGATTAAAAAAAAACAAAACGCTGCTGTACTTCCTTACTTCAGTGATACTCCAAACCCCTTTAAAAAATAAATAAATAGGCCAACTTTTTAGAGCGATAAGAAGGCTATCAAGGTCAATACTAATACACATGGCTGTTTGCGTGCTTTTGGGCAGTTCAAACAACCTCAGTCAGCTGTTGTTGGTACACAGCCAACGATGGCCATAGCTCTCAGAAGGATGAGACTGCTGATAAATGAGTTAATGTTATCTACAGAGGAAGTTCAGAGTTTCCTGCTAGGGTACACACTGGAGGTGCTGTGGTGTGCTTTTCTCTCTGTCGCCATTCTAATCTAGTCAGTACTTTCAGGAGCTGGTGAAAGTGACATGCAATCCTCAACATCAGGCGTTTCTGCAATAAATCACTTTGTGGAGAATTACTGCAGAATCTTTAATCAAATGTCATGTCTAGTCCTGTCAAGTTTATTTATACAGCCTTTAACCACTGTTGCAATCTCAAAGCGCTTCACAATACCCACTAGCCAAAATCAAAACAAGTAATTTAACACCACGCAATGATTCAAGTGTGCTGATGGTAATTTTTCTATTTATTTTCCTGCTTTATTATTTCAAGACAGTGGTACACATGGGTAACTTCATTCTAAAGACTAAACTTGATTGCAATCAAGGTCAATGCCAGATCAGTCAAATGTATTTAGATAAAGTATATCATAATTGTTGCAGTTAGAAATACAGATTGGAAAACCATCAGATTGTACTTAGCTGCCAGGTTGTGCCAAAAGCAGTCAACACTAGGAAAGCTATGTTCAAAGAAGGGTACAGTAACCACTGCAGAACAAAAACAGCTGAGGGGAATGTGAGATCCAGGCCTGACTTCTGCTATAGTGCGTTCAAGCCACAGCAGTGTTGCCAGAGGTTGAAATACTTTGATAGCACCTGTCAGAGGCTTCTTGAGGTTGTATTTCATCTAGACTAAGAGAGTGCGTTTAAAAATCTTCAACGGAGGAATCTAGAGTCTTGGTTTGTACCCTCAGAAGAGTAAATGGGTATTTCAAAGACCTGACTGTCTCCAAACAACAGAGTCAAGTGGAGAGAGAACACCAAATTCCTCAAAGCAAAATGTCAAATATAATCCCCCAGCAGACGAAAGGGAGAAGCCATTACTGGCAAATACTTCAGAAGCCTCTGACAGAGGAACTGGAGGGAGGAATAACAAGGTTGAACCAAGATACGGCCCAATATAGTAATGTGCATATTATTTAAAACTACTCTACATATTGCATTGGCCTGCCTGAACAATATGTACACCTTATACACACTGAGAGTCTTGACATAAAGAAGCTGGTTTTGTTAACGCAGTAGATAAACAGTACACTGCAGTAATGCTTTGTGATGGTTTCCCACAAACGCAGGATATTGTCACACTACTATGCTGCGACAGACCTGCAATAGAGGAAGTGAGAGGGGTTTCACTTGGTCTTCAATAAAAAGAGCCAGCAAGTGTTGTGACGCACCATTAAGTCTGCTCTGCAGTGTCTGCAAAAATACTCACTGCAGAGAAAAGTCACAAGAAGGGGAAGTAATACAAATGCACCAAATAAAAAAAAACATTTTAGCCGGTTATTAATCCAAAGATTCAGTATAGATTCTGACAGCACTGCTTGTGTCTTAACCATTATCTTATACGACAGAGAGCAAACCTTTTTTCTGTATCCAGCTTTTAACATGCACCTTATCCGTTGCTGCCCTACTTTAAAAATACCTGGGGCTGCTCCATTAGTTTTCCAGAGGTAAGCCTGTCCCATCTACAAAAAGCCCATGAGGTGGGTCATCTCCTGCATATAATCATGTAAGACTGCTTTGCTATTCTCACTATTCTCCCCTTCGGCAGCGTGTGAAGACCCAGGTGTAGGTACCAGCCCTCTATTTATAGCCATCTGTTTGCCCGGTGCTCAATCCAGCCTGTGCTAAGGAGATTTAGTCTTCCTGCATCCTCTTCCTTGCCAGTGTAGAAAGCGGATTTCCATTTAAAGAAAACTGCACCTGTCTGAAACCTGCCGTGCTAAGGAAGTAAGTAATTCCCAACTATCTACCTGGTGATCAGAGGTCATTTGAATGAATGAAGTCGGAACAGCCATACACTGTTGAAATTATCAGCACAGCAAAAAAGCATCTTTGACTAGTTCGGCTGAAATCGACGGTTGTATAATCAGGCCATGATTCTGCAGGCGTGCAATAACGCCACATTAGCTGAGGTCAAAACATTGCTGAGTAAACCATCCATCCATAATCCTTCCAGTGCTAAAGCTTGTTATTCTTTTCTTTTACACTGTATTTTTAAAAAATGATCTCACCTAAATGATACACAGGTGTGAAAATGTATAGAAAATCTATTCTCACATTGTCTTCCATACCCAGTGTTTTCATGAAACTATTGTAGTAAAAGACTCTACACTACAGGGCCTCAATCAGTATTTTCCATTTGCTGACAGCAGGAGCATTTAGCCAGTGAACCTTCCACCATTCCACGACCCTACAACACTGGGGTGAAGACTGACTAGCAGCTGTGCATGACACACCACGCAGAAAAATGGAAATTAACACAAATTCCAAAATGTAGGGAAAGAAAGCATGGATGGCACTTGGAAGGCTGCTGGGAAAGGAACATGCAAACCCACAGCCTCTCTCTGCACTCAGCACAGGCACTCATGCTTGAAAGTGAATGAAAACATGCAGCAGAGCAGTCGCTAAAAGCAATGCAAGGCACTGAATTTTTTACGTTGCAAATGGGCTACCACCATCAAGTATGTGGTGGAACCTGTTTGACATAACAGCACAACTGTGTTGTATATTCGTATGCTGAGTGTGCAGATGTACAGCACAATGACTCCACACCTCAGTGAACAAGGAACAGATTTTAAACCTTGACATGACTAGCTAGATGGAGCAGGTCATTTCAGGAGCCCACATGACACAGGAGAGTGTGTGAGATGTGTATCGCAGGGGTATAACCTCTTAATTTACACAGTTATCCTTCTAGCTAGTTAATCACTGGACTGTTTTAGGCTGCTATTAGTGAGTTCACACTGCAAGCAACTCAGAAATTCTGTTTCTTTACGAGGAGACAAACTTTGACGGTTTCCTTGTTTTTCATATTTCAACTAGGAACATTTTCTTAAGTTTACGTTGTCACTGCTTATCAGAAGCCACTCTCAGAGTTAAGGCTGCTCAATTAATCGAAATTTGATTATGATTTTGGGGCCAAACGATCTCAGAACTAATAAAATCGGGGGGAAGCGATTTTTTTTCATTTTCTGTTGTGCAACGTTGTATAGAAAAAAGCTGTGTCCTAATTCAGGGATGCAGCCCTGAATTGGGACACAGCAACAGTCTGCGTATTTCGCGCATGCGTATTTCGCGCATGCGTATTTCCGTCCCTCCCCCACAGCATGCACAGTCAGTCACGTTGTTTTCGTTGGAACAGGTAACGCGTAACGGTAACAGGTAATTTCAAATGTTATGGCAGTGCACTAAAATTTGAGAACACAAATTGTTTTTCTATGGCTTATCTTGTGTGTGTTATTTTATTTAACTTTTTGTAGAGATTGCAAGAGTGCACTATGACTGTCAATGTAAAAAAAAAATTTAAAAAGAAAGGAAAGTGTAACTGCGGACTTCCTTGCAAAGTGTTTTTGACAAATGTCAAATAACAAATAAATGCAGCATGTTTCTGAAGTTTAAAAAAATAATCGTTTGAATAATTGTGATTTCAATTTTGACCCAAATAATCGTGATTATGATTTTTTCCATAATCGAGCAGCCCTACTCAGAGTAGTTTTGTTGCAGGTCCCGCAGATCACTAACACTCAACTGACAGTGCCGCTAGCAAACACCTAACTCAAACTACCCCTGAACATTAGAATGGCAATGTGGGAACATGAAGTAAACTGCGTGCACTGCAGTTTGCCTTCAGCAGCAGCATTGTCAATCTGTGAGCCAAACACATGCGAGGTGTTTAATTCAACAACTACTTTCTCAGGGTGACCTTTGAAGTGCCCACCCACCAGCATTACATAAGTCTGAATCCAAGGGATGCAATATTCATGTGGACAGAGGGTTGACTGTACAGGTAAAGACACTTACCGCCATCACCAGCTCGAAGGGATGCTTGTACACCCGCACAGGCGACTGATACTTCTGCACCATGATGGGGATTACAGTAACACCAACAACCTGAACAGAAGTAAGAATAAATAAATCAGAAAAGGAAGAATAAAAAAAAATCATAGGCATTTATGAAAGAAGGAAAAGCAGAGATGTGGGTCTGCTTTACTTTCACTCTTGGCATAATCACAATAACCATGTGCTGAGTGCCAAAATGACAGCATTATAGCTGCATCTGGCCGTACAACAGGAGACCCAGCGTGTAATTAAATAAAGGTGTGTTTTGGCTGACTGCTTCAGTGATGCCAGGTGCTTGTGTGTGTGTGCGTTTGTGTGCTGGCAGGCGGCCCTATGAACTAGAAAACCGTGTAAAGTGATGGGCTGCAGAAGGGAACTCTCCCGAGCCATGACCAAGGATGTCACTGATCAATGGATGCAGCATTTCCCGCTCATTTATCAAACAAGAGACTGTACCACTGCAATGGCTTTTTACTGCATACTACTGGGGATATAACTAAGCAGTCCATCTACTGTCTCTGCAGAAGCTCAGGTCACAGCTACACATGACAACACTGCACGTAAGGTGCTGCTCATTCTTTATAATGTAAACAGCACATTCCACATGGTGGAGCATTTAGACAGAGGCTAGAGAACAGGATGAGACAGTAAAAACATACGAATAAAATGGATCTTTTAGTCACTTGAACATTAATGGTGAAAAGACCAAAGCACATATATTTTAAGGAAAACCAAATGGAATGTGGTGTAAAGACTAGGGCTGCACAATTAATCGAATTATTATAGAAATGGCAATGTGCAAATTGCAAGAGTTGTAATGTTTTGATAAAGGTTAAATGTTTGACAAAACAGCATCAATTAAGCATGAAGTACTGAAAGGTGAGCAGAGGTGCCCTGGTCTACAAATTATTTATCATTTATAAAAATATGTCTGTTTGCTACAGCCCCCCAAAAATTTCACATCATCATGATTTTTATAGGTTTTTTTTGTGGAAATTCAATTTGTGATGCCAACATTATCCTTCCCACATAATCCTGACTGGCAATTTCTGTCAAAAACAATCCCAATATGATGTTTCTACCACATCGTGCAGCCCTAGTAAAGACAAAGGTTCTGCTTTCTCTAGGCAATTCAAAACAAGTGTACAGTGTGGCTTGAACTTCATGTTCTAGGTTTGTTCAGCATGTTGATGCATGTCTGTAACTCCTGCTATGCAGTGATGGGAACATGGCTGCAAGGAGGGGTGTGAGCTAACGTCCCAGCACTACTTACAGAGGGATCAGGGCAGGCAGACTAATAATAACCGGGCTAAGACAGACGGAATACAAACAGGTCGCCACAGTATTCCTCTCTAAATAACACATATCTAACGTTTGCTACTGCAATACATCATTACCGTCATGCTTCAGGATCTGTCAGCAATTTCAGAGACACGTCAAAACAAGACAATTAACAGTTGCGTTAGTAACAGCCTTGTGTTAATGAAGAGGTTTAAGGAGACACTTTCAAACACAACATTCAGCAGTTTGTCTCTCTGAATACCAAATAAAATACATGTCTACTTGAGTGAAAACAGAATACACTAGTTCATCATCTCAGACGTTTCTGTTCAACTTTATTTTTACAGTTTTATCACGCTTTCGTGTTGCATCAGTCCGTAAACGCCGTGTGTTGTGACTGCTTTCTGTCTTGTTTTGGTTATCGTGTGAGCCGCTTTGATGGATCAGTATGTAACGTTGAACTGTTTTAACGTCTTTACGTTCAGAAAAATAACACGCTCTTAACCTCCAAATGTCATCTTTCTGGTTAAAAATGAAAATGAAACTCAGTAACACGCATTATCATTTTAACACAGCCACCTTGATAGTCGATGACAACACTTGCCACGCCGACTTGTTCACGTTAGCTTACACAACACTGCTGGCTTAATGAGACTAGCCCGCAAGCTAGCGCTAACTTTACAAATCGCTGTTAACTTGAAATAAATGTCAGAACTTGTGCTTACCGGTGAATCGGTTAAATAAATAAATCTGGGTTGGTTTAGTCTGGTTAGTCGTTGTATCTTCTGAAAGGGTTGTCCGTGTAAACTCTTGCCATTCCCCTCCTCGGCTCTTCACTTCGCCGGCTGACGGTGAACTGAAAGCACAAGCTAACGGTAGTTAGCTGTATTGTGCTAGCTGGCCATGTAGCCGGAGTAAGTTAACTAACAAGCTAACCGTGGGACGAGTCCTCTTCGCAATGAGTTGTTAGAGAGACAAACGAAATATCCTAAACAGTCCACTGTTAATTCACGCTGAACAGAGGAGCTGTCGGCACAGGAGGACAGTATCCCTCTCTCAGTCCTCCTCCTCCCCCCCTCCTCTCTCTCTCTCTCTCTCTCTCTCTCTCTCTCTCTGTCATGCCCGTGATGCTGTCGCTCCTCCCCGTTTTCAGCTCAGTTTTTTTCCACCTCTCAGGGCAGCGCAGTGTCGCGTTCATCAAACCCTCCGCCTGTCCACATGTGTGCAAGTGAAGGACAAAAACAGCAGTGGAGAGGACAGTCCCCTCTGAGCAAAGCAAAGGAACAGCCCAAAATAAAACGTCGTCGGACTTAATGTTTTATTTGAAGAAGTTACCGTCAATGCTGCTGCAGTCATAAGTGATGTCAGCAGCGGTCACCAGAGTGACATATGAGTCCAGTGCAGTGTAGTTCATGTTTCTGTCTGTTACATTCATTTCACTAAAAATACATATACATACATTACAGGTGTTACCATGAGAACTAGGTGGGTAACACCAGTTATTTAGAAGTGCACATTGATACATTTGGGAGATTTTTAAAAAATAATGGTCCAAATAGAAGCATCAGAGGCCGTGATATACCTTAAAGTCCCATTCAACTCAAAATATGTTGGTCTTCGTGTTCCTACAGTGTGAGGTTTGAACGATGTCTGTGCAGAGTTTGACACTAGAAGGATGTTTCCACATTCATCTGCTGAAAGTGGAAATCAGATTTTAAAGGAGCAGTGTTTAGTGGCATCTAGCAGTGAAGTTGCAGATTGCAACTAACTGAACACCGCTCGCGTCTGTATTTGATGACCTGGGAAATGAGATCAGGCTGTGAAGTGTGTGGGAGAAAATACAGTGGCCACGAAACTCGTAAAAACACAAGGGGCCCTATCTACAGCCTGTGTTTGGTTTGTCCGTTCAGGGCTACTGTAGCAACACAACCATCCAACATGGCGCCTCCATGGAAGGCGACCCGTGGTGTCTGTAGATAAATACAGTTATTCTGTAATACATTTACATGTGTGCTCCTATTATGCTTTTATATTTCCCATAATGCAACCAATGACAACTCCAGTGTCACTTTCTGTCTCCTGGACGAAATGAACAGTAAACTGACCTTTATGGGTAAAATTGTCACACATTTCCTTTTTTTTCTTCTATATTGTTTATGCAAATGTTACAACCTTATTTGTCTTCATTAGAGGTTGGAGCTTTAAGAACTGATAAGATAATGGAAAGCAGTGAGTGACACCATAAACACACCTCTCTCTTTCTTTAAGCGCTTCAAGAAGTTATAAAGTGGTGTGTCTTTCCAGGGGGAGAGTCTTCGGTTTCATCTACCCTCAAAAGTGTGTGACCTTGGCAAGATGCCAAACCCCCAAATACCGTGCGTAAATGGAGACAGTGTAAACTATTTTCAGCTATAAGTAATCAATGCTGGTGTTGGAATCTGATAGTTACTATATTGCTGATGCTTAAAACGAGCTGATCCTATATACAACCCGGGTAATTTACACACCTGAAAGACAAGACCTCTGCTGTTGTAAAAAAAATAAACAGGAGTCAATTGTAAAAAAAAAAAAAGAAAACTTACCTTGCAAGTAGTCTCCAGTATAATAATAACCCTAATCCTGTCCCAGAATTAAAAAACAAAACTAATATCAAATTGGTTCATCAATTAACAATCAAATATAGAAGTACTTATATTTGCATGTAGATTAGTTTAAGTGAAATATTTGTTGATAGATTATCATTTTCAAACTCATGTTTTTCATACACAAGTGTTTCCTTCCTCAGTTGCTGCACAAATATGTCTGGACTTATAAGCCTCTGTTTAGTTCTCAGAGTTAAATACACTCACATCCTAATTATGTAAGAGGTTTAGCAGCGATGGCGGTGGATGATAGCATTAAGGCGATTGTGTTTCAAAGGGCAGGCTAGTTGAGTTCGTACAGCTTACACCAAGGTCTGCCACCACACCAAATGTTAAACAGCAGATACATAAAAAAGGCCAAAAATGTTATTGTACAGTCACATAATGTCTTGATGGAGAATTTGTCTACAGAGAACGTTATCTGTTAGGATTTCATGATAAAAAATAATAATACACCATTCATGCCCTAACCAGGAAAACAGGATGTGCTGTTAAATATCACATCTTTGGCTCAAATTTAATAAAGGCCAAGAAGGCATTGTGTTGTGTGTTGTATCACAAACAGAGTATCACAAAGTCGGGTATACAGTGGACTAAAACAGTATGGTTTATATACAGCACAGGATTCTTTCCTCACATCTTCATTCTCCTTTCCCTGTATTCCTCTTCCTTTTAAGACCTCCAATCTTAATAGTAGTTAGTTAAAGTATAGGTCCACATGATTAGCCTGGATAGCTCACCCCAATGTTCAAAGGCTGAGTTCTCCAGTTGTCCTATCTATAAAGGGAAAAAGCCCCAAAAATTATTGAAAAAACAAAAGTATATGTACTTATTAATGAGCCATAAATGTATATTGCTTAATAAGAATCATTTAGAGAACAAAACTGTATGCAGATGATTGTATATTTTGTAAGTTTGATCAAGAGCATGTGTTCTGACAGTAGTTTCTATGGCAAATAGTGATATGTTCAACCGGATCAACCACTTACGAGCAGACAATAGAAAATATTGTATGTTTTTGTATGGAAAAAGAAATGGTATTGTATTACTTGAGAACATTTAAAATGGATGTGCAGTGTCCTCTAGTGGGCAATGGCTCTAGTTACAATGAATTGCAATGAAGGAGGTAGAAAAGGTTCATCAGACAAGTTTATGTTTCAGCAACAGCATGCTCTTTAAATGTCATTTTTCTCCACAGCAAAATGAGAACAAAAATGTATTCTATTTCTCCTTGCAGAGAGTTGTTGAGAGGCCTCATCTTGTTCACCATCATATCAAACCTGAGCATATGTTCGTCAGTCAGCACTCAACTATTATTCAGTGATAATTTAAAATCCACCACCCCACTAGTGTCAAGGCGCTGTTTATGGGGGTGAAATAAATATGACTGAAATGTCTTGACAACTGTTGAAGGATTGCCATGAAATTTGGTGCAGACATTTATCTTCTCCTCAGGGTGAATTGTAATTTATTGTAATAAAAGTTATCTGCAGTCTATTAGGGCTGCACTGTAAAACCTGACCACACACCTTAATAAAAGAAGTAAGTTAACTTAAATGAATCGTACAAAAATTAATTGTTGAAGCAACTCAGTTGTTTTGAGTGCCCTTAAATTTACACACATTTAGTGGTGAAATAATTCAAGTTTGTTCTTAGACTCATTTTCTTGACTTTATATCATTACACATATATAAAAAACAAAGAAAATTACCATTGTGATAATGAATTAATGGTTTTCATTGTACGTCAGCTGTTTTGACAGCTAATGTAATAATTTGCTTTAGTAGAAGAAAACTGAGTACATTTAAACTTGGTGGTAACATCTGTATAAAGAAGATGCATTTAAGTTACTTTATTCAGATAAATTCTGTTCACACATTTTAAATAAGTTTGGAGAACTGTGCATATGAGTGTAACTTAAGTTAACTTAATAGAATTGGTACAATTAACTTAATTTACCCAAGTAAATTAACAATTTACCCAAGTTTGAGTTAATAAACTTAAGCAGTTTACGGTAATTGGTTTCCTAAAACAGTTAAGTTGAGTTGAACAAACTCATCAGTTTTTACAGTGTGCAAATAATGATTATTATCATTACTGATAAATCTATGAATAAACACATCAATTGTATGACTATTTGTCACAGCTCGACAGCCAATGCACATTTTCATTCATTTCAATATCATTATCAATACCCAACATAGCCACCAGAGGGACTGCCACCAGCCTAATACAATGGATTCTTTGAATAATAATAATAATAAAAACACATGTATACATGTATGAATGTTTTCAGTGTAGTTCTAAGATAATCTTAGATAACAGTCTGAACAATATAAGGCACAAAAAGCAGTTTTAAAATAAGCAGTTAACTGTCCTGCGGTCTATAGATTTGAATGTCTATAGATATTGCATACACTATGTAGAGTGCTGCAGTGGCATCAGAAATTTAGCTGTCCGCTTACATTTTACCATTGAGCAATAGCTGACATTATTGGTGCCATGTCGCCCACTGGGAAATATCCTGCAGGTGTGTACTAGCAGAGAGCAGTATGAGAGCAGGAAGTGGTTTTCAGAGTCTGACAAACTGATCTCAGCAGGAAGTGCAGCCGCGCTTTGACAGGAAACTGATCTTAACAGTCAACAGTCCATACAACCACAGGTAGCTCATAACAAGTGGATATTGTCACTCTTTTACTTATTTACTGCCTTATTGTTCATGGTATTAATAATAGTCAGGTAGTTTTTTTTAGATGCATTCAATCATTAAGTATTTGGGTAGACTTTCATTAATAATAGAAGACAAAGGGGTGAATAAGGGATAGAACTGAAGTTGTATCCCTGTCCTTCAGATTCAGTCATTTAAATGAGGTGTACGTGAAACCACATTTCTCACACTCATACTGCAACAGACTAAATGACTCAAGAACTGACAGACGAACAGGTTTCCTTCAAAGGGAAGTTACGGCTGATAACTACCTACAAAAGGCCTCTATCAAATTACACGTGTGTGTGTGTGTGTGTGTGTGTGTGTGTGTGTGTGTGTGTGTGTGTGTGTGTGTGTGTGTGTGTGTGTAATGTGTGTACATTGCTTTAAGTTTAGGTACTATGCAAGTAAAAAGGTGTGTGTTTAAGAGAACATCAGAGATGTCAGAGATGAATCAGGTTCATTTGGAGGAAAAACTGGGCATTAAAGCAGAACAGGAAGTGAAGAAGAAGGGAAGTATTAAGTGAAAACATAAAGTGCAGAAAAACATTGTGAGATTTCTATATATATGTGAAATACTCAGTGCCATTTTATGAGGAACCAAGCGGCCTGTGAGTGAGAGGAGTTTGAAGCTGCAGCAGAGCAACCACATTCAGAGCAGTTGTTGTTGCCGGATGACGTTTGGTAAGACAGGAAACGAGACATGCTGTGAGATAGAACCAGCG